CAAACAAATAGGCTTTAACAAGGCTTTAATAAGCTAAACAATAGAGGTACATGAGAAAACGTGTTCATAACGAATGAACATACGTGAAAATAATTAAATTCTGTCTGCGCCGGTCTCGTACCCTGGTCTCCCACTCTCTGGTCCAACACTCTACCCATTGCCCTGTTGGAGGCTTGTTGTAAAATGAGCTGCACATTGCACAAGAACAACCTTTTTATACTGAGGAAATGGAGCTTCAACAGGGGGTTGCTAGGTAAGGGGGCTGAACGCAGGTTCAGGTGGGTTCTCGTACGGCTTGTGACATCACAAAATGACGGAAGTATAAAACTTGTCGTTAATATACATAAAAAATACATTTACTTACAGTAAATATGCCCCTGGGTGCTTTTTATTTTTGGTCCTAGGACTGTTTTTTTAAGAAGTACATACCTAAAGTTGAGTAAAAAAAACTTTAAAAAGTAAATTTTGCATAATAGGTCCCCTTTAAACAGTAAAGCATCAGCAAGTCATCGTTTTTGAACATTTTTGAAAACTGAATCCAATAGGGTCAAAAAATGCACTTAAAACCAGAATCTTCTTACAGGAAGGAAATCGAATCTTTCGAAACTTGAAGGTTGTTTCCTACAAGCATTTTTTTGGTCCTAGGACTGTTTTTTTAAGAATTACAGACCCAAAGTTGAGTAAAAAAACATTTAAAAAGTGAATTTTGCATAGTAGGTCCCCTCTAAACATAAATAAAAACAAAATACGGTGATTTGCTAATCCTTTTCAATCTATATTCAACTGAATGCACAACAAAGACAATATATTTAATTTAAACTGATAAACTTATTATTTTTTATTTTTTTAAATATTCACGCATTTACAATTTGATGGCAGCAACACATTCCAGAACAGCTAGGACAAGGGCAACAGAAAAGCTGGGAAAGTTGGGAAATGCTCTAAAATCTTCTATTTGAAGCATTCCACAGGTTGGAAACAAGTGAGTGTCGTGATTGAAAGGGAGCATTCCCAAATGGCTCAGTCATTCACAAGCAAGGATGGGGCGAGACAAATARTCCAACAGTTTAAGAAAAACAATTCTCAACATACAATGGATATCACCACATGGGCTCAGGAACACCAGAAAACCACCAGTGAACACAGTTTGTTGCTACATCTACAAGTGCAAGTTAAAACTCTACCATGCATGTGTCCTTGCCTGTTTCAGTAAGACAATGCCAAACCACATTCTGCATGTGTTTCAACAGCTTGGCTTTGTAGTAAAAGAGTGCGGGTACTAGACTGACCTGCCCGCAGTCCAGACCTGTCTCCAACTGAAAATGCGTGGCTCATTATGAAGCTCAAAATATGACAATGGAGACCCGAATTGTTGAGCAACCAACGTGGTTCATCAAGCAAGAATCGGAAAGAATTCAGCCTACAAAGCTTCAACAATTAATGTCTTCAGCTCCCAAACGCTTATTGAGTGTTGTTAAAGGGAAAGGTAAACACGCTCCTGTACAATCTATTTTGGAACGTGGTGCGAGCATCAATATCAAAATGAGTGAATATTTGCAAAAAAAAAAAAAACAGTAAAGTTTATCCTTTCAAACATTAAAGGGGCAATATCATGTAAAATCAACCTTTTTGAGTTTTATATCATGTTATAATGTTATACTCTCACAAAAAAAAACATGCCCAAAGCCTTGCTTTGACACATTCATGCATGTTTGAGAAATCCTGCAGCGTTTTTAGGAAGCCATGCTGAGGAGCAAAACGACAGGTGGGGACTAGAAACGTCTTTTGGTGCCAGAAACGCTTCTGGTACGTGTCTTTAAGCCGAGCACGGCAGAGTGCCTCCCGCCCCGTCCCCACACACCCCGCCCATGACTCCTGCAGGCTCTCAAACAACGGGTGAAACTGAAAGTGAAACTGAAACTGTCTGCTGAGCTCTTAACACTACTTCTCACTCAGTGAAGCGCTTTTCAGATTCAAAATACCTTTGAGGAAATGTATTTTCAGATGCCAAGTAAACTGCATCATGCTCCCCCCTCCCCACGCCACTGAAATGGGTGGGACAGAAGAGGAAGGTGGTTCTTAAAGAGACAGAGGCCAATTTCAAGACGTTTAGAAGAGGAAGTGATGAGAAGATAAGTTKATTTTCTATTTAAACATAAAAACAACATTTTAATAACAGCTAAAGGTGACATAGATACTTTATTATGGTATAGTATTTAAATGTATGCCTGAGAAACATAATATTGCCCCTTTAAATATTTTGTCTTTGTAATGTAATTTTCACGGTCTGTACCTGTTGTTAGTGTATTTTGGTTACTCTTCTGGTTTCTGTACTGTTTTTGTTTACTGTTTGCCTCCTGCCTGTCTCTGCTCCAGCCCCGCCCACTCTCACCTGCTCATGTTTCTCTCCCAGGTGTTTCTTGTTGTACCTCATTAGTTCCCCATTAATCTGTTCTGTGTCTTCAGTCTGGTGACAAAGCTTTGTTTCTTTGTATGGTTGTCTCCACAGTCAGTGTGTTTTCTGGTTCCTCATATCCAAGCCTGTTTCTGCCCTTTTTTTGTTGTTGTTGTTGCTGCCATGCCAATATTTTGCTTTAATAAAGCTTTTTTTTGCCACATATCTGGACTATCGGTCATTGAGTTGTGCACCTGGGGTTCAACCTTCCAACCCACATTACAGTTTTCAATTAAATATAGGTTGAAAAGGATTTGCAAATCATCACRTTCTATTTTTATTTATGTTTTACACAATATCCAAACTTAACTGGAAACGTGGTTGTAAATGTACTATAAATATGTAGAACTCTATAAGCTGCCCTTACAGCAGACAGGTGTGTGACATACAGTATCTGGTGTCAGGCATCTTTGGCCATCATTCTTTGCAGTATCTGAGCMGMTTGTTTTGCTACATAGGTATTATCACTGTATCAGTGGCTACACCTTTGTACTTTTACTGTATATTTCAAGTCAGCTTTGGTAAAGTCATCATCATTCTGAAGAGGCATACAGGGAGCTCTGCTGAATTTGTGAACGGTACTGGACTTTTAAAGAATTCAACAGAAAAAGAAAATGWAAAATGTTACTCTAAATGTCTTTGTGTCAGTCTCTCCTGTTGCATACGTTCTCCCTTAAAGAGTCTAGCCCTTTTTTATCTTTTTTACTTAGACTTACCAAAATAGTGGTGACTATATACGTCCTGTTCTGAAGTCCATAGGTCTCATTACTGGCCTTTATGAAACTAGCCGTGGTCATGTATCTCTCCTCTTCATTCCAGTAGGCAACCTAGAAGAATGTATCACAGAAGAAGAAACTTTAAATGCTGAACTGTATGAAACTTTAACCAATAAGATATTTTTTTAACTAAAGACATGACTGGAAGCTGGAAGCTGAAGCCACAGAGAATGAGCACCCTCTAACGGTTGGCTACAATTTTTTAAATTCCCGCACTTTCAAGTAAACAAGATACTTTTCTGACAAAAAATAGAAATAAATTTCAGATCATTAGCATATTGCATAAAGTATTGCAAGATAATGCAAACATTTTAACATAGGACCACAAAAATTATTGAGAGGTAACGCAAAAGTATTGTGATTTAATGCAAAATGCTTGCATAGGAATGCAATACAAAAGGTATCGTTAGAAGTATTGTGAGGTAACACAAAAGAAAAAAAATCCCTTCATGTAGGCTCTGCATAATATCAACCGCGGATGGAAAAATAAGAAAATACTTGAAGATTAAACAGTTTTTTTCTAACAGTTAAGCAGTGAGGCCTTGTTTAATTTTTTTTCAGCTGAATTGTTTACACTCGTTCCAGAAAGGGAAAGTCTGCAGTCARTTTTCACACAACAGCCCTCTAAAAATCAGGTGTAAGGAAATAGCTCCAACCATATAAAAGTGCTTTGTAATCCTGTTACACTTTCACCAAAGCACATAGCAACATTTCATTAACACCCCAGAAAATTGTGACAGCTTGTGAAAAAGAAGCACAAAGTGTCTCCCTCAAGTTGGTTAAACAGCTCCAAATGAAGGGAAAACCACCAGTGACATGTACATAGACTGTGGGTAATCTGATAGTAATAAGGAACATTATGTTACCCAGTGGGCTTTTTTAAATCTGGTGCTGTTCAATGCCTTTTTTTCTTTACTTTATTCAGCTTTAAAAGATGCATATTCTCTTTTCATGCATCCTCACTGTGCAGCTTCTTCTAGAGTTTGTGACTTTTTTGTGTTCTTTTGATTATACTGTTGTGATTTTTACAATAAAACATTTTAGCTGTTTTGAGTTATAATTGTTAACTTTTATGTAATATTAACACTGTATTGCTTTTTTATTGTTTAACAGAGTGAATCACTCAAGAGGATTTTCTAGAATTTTAGTGGCATGCTTCACTGTTTGTACTAATATGTTGCTTATTAGATGAGKTGAAACTCATTTAAATAACCACTATAATCTTAGATGGTCTATGAGCACTAGGAGTGTAARGGTACATGTATTTGCAAGTTTGCTGCAGTGGGAGACGGGAGTTGCATGTATCGCAGCAGAGTTGTAAAGTAACCATAAAAAAAAGAAAAAAACATGTGAGACTTGGAAAGGTCTGAAAGGTCAAGATCTGAAAACTACTCTTACGATAAATATTACTTCTTAAAAAACTCATCAATGTGTAAGAAAATTTARTGTTCGTTAACTGAAATCGTGACGAAACCACGTAAATATTGAATAGATTAAAACGTGAAGTGAATGGACCATACAACACCAGTGACTGGAGAGAACGCCGGTTTATTGCTGTCTGTGCAAGCAGGAAACCGACGCTGGCAAGAAACCGGAAGTCCCGGCATATAAATACATGCTCTTCAGTGTCTGGTACGCCCACTACTGGCCTACGGCTGAATCGCACACTCAGACAAAAAACCTGAACTTATCAAAAAGAAAAAAAAATTGTATAGGTCTTCTGGACGGGTTCTTCTCTGATGAAACGTTTCATCTCTTCTCCAAGAGACTTCTTCAGTCTGAGAGTTTCAGGCAAAATTCAGGCTTTTAAGCACTGCCTCCATGTGACTGTTACTCACATCACATGGCTATCGTTGACACCTAATTAACATCTATTGTTAACAGGGGTGGAGTGATACAGGCAATGGCCACACTGTAGGAGGGGGACAACTGAAAACRGAGGCCTCCACCTCTGTTTAATGATGGACGGTCTTTCTTCACAAAAATGGCTTCTTTTTCTCCTCTCTCAAACCAACGTTCCTCTCTATCAAGAATGAGAACATCCTCATCTCTGAAAGAGTGACCGCTGGTCTGTAAATGAGTGAAAACTGCAGAGTTCTGGCCATTAGACGTAGCTCGTCTGTGTTGGGACATTCTTTTGAACAGTGGCTGCTTTGTTTCCCCGATGTATAACTGGTCGCAGTCCTCCTGGCACTTAACAGCATATACAATATTGCTCTGTTTGTGCCGGGGCACCGGATCTTTGGGGTGAACCAGCCTTTGCCGTAATGTGTTTTGGGGTTTGAAAGCCACTGGGACATCATGTTTAGAAAATAAACGTCTCAGTTTCTCCGAAACACCCGCAACATACGGAATAACCACTGGTTTGGTTAAACCCCAAACCCAGACCCAAACCAGTGGTTATTCCGTATGTTGCGGGTGTTTCGGAGAAACTGAGACATTTATTTTCTAAACATGATGTCCCAGTGGCTTTCAAACCCCAAAACACATTTCAGCAAAGGCTGGTTAACCCCAAAGATCTGGTTCCCCGGCACAAACAGAGCAATGTTGTATATGCTGTTAAGTGCCAGGAGGACTGCGACCAGTTATACATCGGGGAAACAAAGCAACCACTGTTCAAAAGAATATCCCAACACAGACGAGCTAATTCTAATGGCCAGAACTCTGCAGTTTTCACTCATTTCCAGGCCAGCGGTCACTCTTTCAGAGATGAGGATGTTCTCATTCTTGATAGAGAGGAACGTTGGTTTGAGAGAGGAGTAAAAKAAGCCATTTTTGTGAAGAAAGACCATCCATCATTAAACAGAGGTGGAGGCCTCCGTTTTCAGTTGTCCCCCTCCTACAGTGTGGCCATTGCCTGTATCACTCCACCCCTGTTAACAATAGATGTTAATTAGGTGTCAACGATAGCCATGTGATGTGAGTATCAGTCACATGGAGGTAGGGCTTAAAAGCCTGAATTTTGCCTGAAACTCTCAGACTGAAGAAGTCTCTTGGAGRAGAGACGAAACGTTTCATTAGAGAAGAACCCGTCCAGAAGACCTATACAATTTTTTTTCTTTTTGATTTTTTACCTGGATTACTGAGATGCATCAGGACATTTGTTAAATAAAGTCCAATGTTGCAACTAATCGGGGATCCCTTTAACTCAGGCTTTCAGTTTGAACATGTTTCTCAGGTAATCTTAAAAAAAAAAAAGGCAGCAGGTACATTTGGATATTATGATTTAAAGGAAAGCTACAACCAGTTAAATMAATAAAATCAAACTAGAACTGGCGCTCCAGGCTTACCTGCTTGGGTCCAGAAGGAGCCAATTCCATGACACTAACAGTGTAATTAGTTCTGCGGCCTTTCTCGTTGAACTGAATGTGACCCGTCAACCCATCGATGCGGACCTGTAGGTCAGAGATGCAGAACAGGTCATGCAGAGGCTCAAAGCCCTCGAACGCCGGGCATATGGTAGAAACCCAGCAAACATCCACGTGTCACTGTTACAGTGCAGTGCGTGCTGAGAACAGTTTGCATGTGTTTGGATAGTATTCATTTGTGAGAGTCCGTAGAGTTCAGGTCCCTGCGGAGGTGAATGACAGACGGTGTGCGTGTGCGTACAGTGCAGTGTGTGTGTGTGTGTGTTTGTCTTGGCTCGGTGATGGGATTAATTGAGCGAACACTGCTTCCATCTTCAGTCTGTCTGCAGGCAGATGGCTCTGAACAGACCTCAGCAGGACGGAGCAGTAAGCACAYACTCGCATATTTTCATATTCCTCCTCCGTGCTTTATGTCAACGCCAGTCCCAAATAAACAAAATTGAATGCAACTGTTTAAAGATATATTAATAAAAATGAAAGAATAAATGTTTCTACTTTCTCCTAGATGACACAAGTTTCTGCGTTTCTGCCCGTGAGACCAAGCAGCCTAACAGCCAGGCCGCCGTRCCTACTTCCGTGGCCAAATATTACATTTCTAAACTCAATTGTTGATGTCATATCCCATGACGATCACAGCTGAGTAATATCACCTGCAGGTTTTGTTTACTGGCCATGATGTCACATTTGATACCCAGGATTTCTCCTATGACTTAATGTGAACTTTACACAACGGAATGAGACCTAATTTGTTCAGCCAGCCACAACTCAGGAGTTGTTAGCCAACTTGCCAGTCAAGGATTTTTGTATCTTTGTGCAGAGTCTGTGTGTGTGTGTGTGTGTGTGTGTGTGTGTGTGTGTATATGTGTGTGTCTGGGTGCAGACCTGCTGTAAGGCTCTCTGGATGTCTATGCCCTGTCCCCAAGGGGCTGGTGGGTTGGCCAGACACTCTCCAGCGTTGCCCCGGCGCGAGATGTCTATCCTCTGTCTCCTCAGATTCTGGAAGGCCGTGGACATGACTTTCACGCCGTCATACGTCAGAGCACCTGTGTACTATAACGAAAGCAAACATTTCAAACAGTACTTAGGAGAAGMAAGGAGAGACAGAGCAGGGATGGAGAAATATGCTGTACCTTCATAAATATCYAAGTATTTCTAACTTTCAACTCCTTTTATTTTTTCTCAGCCCGTTTTTTCCTAAGGCAGCTTTTAAAAATGATTCTGAAAACCTTCACTTAGCTGAAACCCATCAGCTGGAAATTCATAAATTCATCTTCATTTAGTCATTAGTAGAAATTCAAATCTGAACTTTCAAACTACTACTACTTCTTTATTTAGCACTTTAAATAATAACCACTGTGAGAAAAGGATTTAGACGTAAAATCAAACAATGAAAAACTGTTAAAAACCCACAATAAAATCAGTAAAACAGAAGTTTGCAAAAGCACGCTTCAGGCAAACCAATAAAAAAGTGTTCACAGAAGGGTTTTAAAAATGGACAGGGAAGAGGCTCGTCTGATAACAAACAGAAGGTCATCCTGTAATCTTGGAGTAAGCTCTGCCC